CTGCAGCAGCATTGTCTAATCTGTCTCATATGTACAATGATAATATAGAACACTGAAGCGAGATGCTCATGGATGTAGTATTATCATTTAAAGATAATCCCATTGGCCCCTAAGGGTGGCAGTCCTGGCCAAGATCCTATATAATAAAGAAGATGATTTGGGAGGGGCTAGCTCACACAATCCTCTCTTTTTGGTCTAGGGATGCATTATTCCCTCCCCTTCTCCTCCTCTCTTCCCTGTATTGGCTATTCAGGCATCCCCCAGCCCAGGAACCGGTGTACTCAATGGGTAGCACATCACAGAGAGATCCCCTCACAATACAGAGCTGAGAGTGAGGGGGACTGAGGAAGAAGGCAGGGAGGGACCCTGACTCATTGTGTAACCTGCAGGGAGGGGGGCTAGGTTGCAGGTGCCTATTTACAGGCAGTGCAGGGTATGGTGGGTGGGGTCTGCACTAGCCCAAGCTGGAGAGAGGGTGGCCAGCACTAGCCCTGCTTGAGAGAGGGGGCTCTCTATAAAGAGGACAAGTTATTTTTTTCCCTTTGCTGAAGTCCTGTTGAATAAATGTGAGTATTAACTGCTTCCTGTAGCCCTCTACATGCATGTCACTTACAGCTGTCGAGGGATTAACCCCATCCCTCCGGATGCATGCCACTCACATCCAGTAGCCAAGTGGTTATCCCCTGTCCCCTAAAGCCATGTGACCCAAATCCAACAGCCCAAGGGTTAACCACATCCATCTGCATTGTATGCATGTCGTATAGTATCCTCGGCCCCAAGCATACAGAGGGTCTTCATATGCTGCAAATAAGGAGTTAATCTAAGCTCTGTGAACACCTGTCACTCCCAGCCAGCAGCCTAGGGGTTAACTGCTAACCATGTTACAGCAGGGCCACATGGGACCCCTTGCTGCACGTTGTCGCATTCTGAATATCATTAATGTTTAAAAGCATTTGCTGCTGAACTCACCCACTCACTACTGCAGATGTACTGCTCCTAGCATAGAATGCCAGGCCTGATACCCACTCGTACCCCTCAACTATAGGGAATTCCAGGCCCTAATATCCACGCACATCCCTAAACGGATCACTGCAGAGATGCCAGTATTGGTTCTCCCTCACACACCTAAACTGCAGGGAACGCAAAGCTCTAGTACCCAATCACATCCATAAAACTGCTGGGAATGCCAGGCTCTGCTAACTTAGAGCTCTAAACTGATCAATACAAAGATGCCAGGCCCTCAAACCACTTTAACTGATTAACGCAGTAAATAGGAAGCCTTTGTGCCTATTTATACACATTTCTCTGATACATGTGAAATGCTAGGCCCTCATTCTTTGCACAACCTTTTAGCCGATCGATACAGGGGTGCCACCATTTGCACCCACTCACACCCCCACTTTGATTTATGCAGGCATGGCAGAACCTCGCCCCTTTTCAGTGCTGACAATACCAGCTATATCAGACCATGATGACAAAACTGAACTATGCATTTAATGCTAATACCCCTTAATTGATAAAAATGCAAAGCTATGGTGCTTCCTTATTTAATCTGTGTATGATTGCTAGCTCTTTGTAGGCACTCACACCCCCTTTTCTAAACTATGCAGTAGATTCTTGGCCCTCCAACCCACTGAAGGTCTCACGCCCCCCTTGCCTGGGTCATTGAAGTCAAGACTTGGCACCCACTTGTACCTATACCACCTACTCCGATCTGACCGAGATTGGTAGGGCCTGGTACCCAGCTCTTCATATCTAAGGGGAAAAAAAGGCATGACTGTTGGGAGAAGTGCGAGGCAGGGAGGGGATCTGACGTTGGATTGAAAGCTTGTGTATATAATGGTGTGTTTCCATCACACAGGTCTGGAATCATGTGGTGATATTTCCTGCAGCACTAACACGAGGAGAATCTGCAGAGATCAGCGAAGGGGGAGAGCTGGTGGATCACCTCTGGATGGGAGTCTTGCTAGCTGCTGGAGCATCTGCCTGCGTCATCAGCTTCTGCAGGGGAATCTGTAAGTTTTCGTACTTGCTGGGATGATTACACCACAATGAGCTCACCGGGGACCTAATGGATGGCACATCAGATCCGAATCTGAGAGTCCAATGTGAAGCAGAATCTGAGGAGAGTGCCAAAGGATCTATTAATATTCATGGGCTGAAGACCATGGACACTGCAATGTTAAACTCTGTAAGAGATGTCCAGCGTGGCCCTGCTGTGAAGGACTGCAAGACGGTCAAGCAGAGGTTCTTGCGAAGAACTGTTGTGGACTCTGATCAGGAGGAACCTCCAGTTTTAGATTTGACTGATTCAGACTGTCCAAACAAAGTCATTCCCATCTCCAGAGCGAGACGGGCAATTGCCAAGCGGACAAAAGGAATTAGCGATCAAAAACATGGCACTGCGCCCCTTGAATCCAACTCTAAGATTGCAGAGGAGCCTCCAGAGCAAGCTGGAGACTCCATCAAAAAGCAGGAACCTGGTATTTCCAAAGATGTATCAAAATCCCAAAAGGAGGAAGAGGAGGACAGCGAGGAGGCAGATATAAAGGCTGTTTCCACATCACCTGATGGCAGGTTTTTAAAGTTTGACATTGAGATAGGAAGAGGATCCTTTAAAACTGTGTACAAGGGACTAGACACTGAGACATGGGTGGAGGTTGCCTGGTGCGAGCTTCAAGTAAGTACTTTGAAAAGAGTATTTTACATATTCTTCATATTTTGCTCACCTTGATATTCAAATGACTTAAGTATGTGTCTTATATACATTATTACAAACATAAAGAGGTTTATTAACTACTAGTTATAAGCTAAGGTTTTGAGATGAGCTCAGTTGGTTTTTAGAATCATGATTTAGTGCATAAACCCCTTTTATGTGCACTTTGTTACTTACTGCATTGCAGAATGTGTTGGAACTTTTACCAATGATATCATGGTTGCTCTTGACGCTACAGCTACTGTTCTGTTGGGCTGTGGCATCTGTAGGCAGCTGAGTTTAACCTTTCTGTCAATGGTCTCCTTCAGTGACACATTGCAGATAAACTAAAAGCCTAAAACATACAAGGTGAATGCTGTATTACATCCGAGTGATAGAATCCAGATTGCTGATGCAACGCTTTTGCACCAATATATCCCTTGGGAAGCTAAAATAATGATTGGAAGCTTACCAGTTCTGCTTACTTGGATTTTTGGCCTACTTTACATTTCTTCTTAAGCACCAATTACCAAATGTAAAAAATATTAAGGATATATAGTTTTTTTTTGTTTAACCGTGGGCCTTAAAGGGTTAAACCCATAAAACCATGCACTCTTCTGCTTTTAACACACTGAATTCCAGGTGGATATGTAGAGCGCACCTCAATAAAGCCTGCTTTGTAGTATAATTGTAATCAGAATGACAAATGTGATTGATTTTTGTTAATTAAACTCTTCTTCACAGTGGCAGGCAGGGAGGCCCTTATACACTGCGTCACACTCACGCAGCTTAGTTTCAGCATGGACCCTTTGCATAAAAACTCCGACATGAATCGGATTGGCTGAGTCTGCTGACAGACGTAACCGCTCTGTATCAGTTTGGTTGAAACGGGTTGACCACTGGCAGATAGTAACCAGTGCTTACAATGGTACTTCCTCTCCTATCATCTATAGAGCACATTAACCCTTTGAGCCCGCAACTGCATCACTGTTCTTTTAATGACACTTCTCTTTCAGGATTGCATTACTTTTGTGATCGTCTGTTTAACCAGCAATAGATTATGTATTGTACCTTAACGTGCTTACAAATTAAATTCTAAAAGCTGTTTAGATAAAGGCATCTTAAGTGGCATGGTTAAAGAAACAAACAAACAAACTATTGTAATCTTACCACTTTTATCATGCATGGTGCAATTTTGTTTATGGTTACTTGGATGGAGATTAAATTGATGCTGCAGGCTCTAAACATTTTTATACTTAAAGGGTTACTAGAACCCTATTCAGAAGGGTGACCTTTTCCGCGTAAAATGCCCTACTTGCCCCTCTCTCAGTTCTTAGTAAAACCTGTAAAAAAGGGTTATACTTACCTTCTCCTGGCGCTGCATTTCTGCAACCCCTCCGCTGTCTGTGCATAAATGTGTTCGCTCTTTACGTGTTATAAATTGTCATTGCTGCTCTTGCTGTAAGTAAGTGCTGTGAGAATCTATGGGGGCTTAGTGTAGGTTGGGATGACTGCCACACATGAGTGATCTTCTGTCACTTGTTTACTTTAATTTGTTAACCTGTATTTCAGATGCACTGTATATAGATTAATTGCATATGCTGGTGAAGATGACTTTAGCATCCACAAGCTTTCTGAATAACAGGTATACTTTGTAGTGCCTGTGTCACAACAGGTACATCTTAATTATTGGATCACAGAAAAAAATATTTTAATGGATGTTATCAGCAGATTGTTTATTAAAGGCACACTGTAGTCACCAAAACAACTTTATCTTAATGAAGCAGCTTTGTTTTTTTTTTTGTTTTTTTTATTTAAGGTCAGTATATTGTCCAACATTTTCGTCACATAAATTTGACAGGTATAAGAAAGTACATGGTACAAGACATTGGAGTTACATTAGTCAAGTGATCAGCATTACGGATTCATAGGTGTGTCTTTGCGTTGAGCATGTGGAGATAGTAGTATTGGAGTTCTGTTACAGTTTCCTACATCCTTACGTTTTCATGAGCTGGCTTATATTCCCATAGTGCTAATAATCATTTTTTTTATTTTTTTTTCCTAGATTGGGGGAGGAGGGAGGGTGTTCTCGGTCTCTAAGTGGTCTGTCGGAGGTATTGGGTCCACGGGTACCAGACCTCGGTGTATTGTTGGTATTGATTTGACAGAGCATAGCATGTTTCTTCTAGGCTTCTGGTGTTTTCTACTTTTTGTAGCCACTCGTGTATGGTCGGGGGGTTTGGTTGTTTCCATAGGGCTGGGATAAGCTGGTTCGCAGCCGTTATAAGGTGTATGAGCAGGGCCGCCGTATGTTTCGGTAAGCCGTGTGTGGTGAGAAGGAATATGTATGTATCTGGGTCTAAGGGAACAGTTATCTTAAGTATGGTGTGGATCAGGCCCGCTATGCGTGTCCAGAATTTTTGTATCACTGGGCATGTCCACCAAATATGTGAGGTGGTGCCCACGGCTGATTGGCAGCGCCAACATTGTTTGGAGGTTGTAGGGAAAGCAGCTTTGTTGTGTAAATCATCCCTCACAGTCTCACTGCTGGAATCTCTGCCATTTAGGAGTTAATCACTTTGTTTATGTAGCTCTAGTCACACCTCCCTGCATGTGACTTACACAGCCTTCCAAACACTTCCTGTAAAGTCATCTAATGTTTACACTTCCTGTATTGAAAATACTGTTTAAAGGACCACTCTAGGCACCCAGACCACTTCAGCTTAATGAAGTGGTCTGGGTGCCAGGTCCCTCTAGGATTAACACTTTTTTTTATAAACATAGCAGTTTTAGAGAAACTGCTATGTTTATAAATGGGTTAATCCAGCCTCTAAAGACTCTAGTGGCTGTCTCATTGACAGCCGCTAGAGGCGTTTGCGTGCTTCTCACTGTGAAAATTACAGTGAGAAGACGCCAGCATCAATAGGAAAGCATTATGAATGCTTTCCTATGAGACTGGCTGAATGCGTGCGCAGCTCCTGCCGCACATGCTCATTCAGCCGAAGGAGGATCGGAGGCGGAGAGGAGGAGGAGAGCTCTCCGCCCGACGGGTGCCCCCACCCTCAGGGATCCCTCTCCCCAGAGCCCAGCGGGAGGGGGTTCCTGAGGGTGGGGGCACCCCCAGGGCACTATAGTGCCAGGAAAACAAGTTTTTTCCTGGCACTATAGTGGTCCTTTAATTTAGAAATTCCTTTCTCCTGCTCTGTTAATAGATTGCTACACCCTGTAGGAGCCTCCTCTATGTAATTAAAGTTCAAATTACAGAGCAGGAGATAACTTTTAAAGTAAGTTACTTCCGATTGAAAGTGAAACCATTTCTTTTCATGCGGGCTGTGTGAGTCACAGCCAGGGGAGGTGTGTCTAGGGCTACATAAACAGAAACAAAAGTGATTTAACCCCTTAAGGGCTGGACTGTTTTTGCGATGTTGTACATTTGCGACCAGGCATATTTTTACACTTTTGTGGTGTTTGTGTTTGGCTGTAATTTTCCGCTTTCTCATTTACTGTTCCCATACAAATTATATATTGTTTTTTTCAGGACAAAAGGGGCTTTCTTTACATACCATTATTTATATAATCTCATGTATTTTAATTTAAAAAAAATAAAAAAATATGATGAAAAATTGAAAAAATACATGTTTTTTTACTTTTACTTGAAAAATCTTTTACTCATCTACAAAAGCGAATGAAAAAAACTGCTAAATAGATTCAAAATTTTGTCCTGAGTTTAAAAATACCTAGTGTTTACGTGCTTTTTTGCTTTTTTTTGCATGTTATAGGGCTATAGGTACAAGTAGGATATTGCGGTTTCAAAACATACATTTTTAAAATTTATCAATAGTGACATTGTAACACTATTATCTGCCATAAATCTCTGAATAACACCCCACATGTACATATTTTTTTTAAAGTAGACAACCCAGGGTATTCAATATGGGGTATGTCCAGTCTTTTTTAGTAGCCACTTAGTCGAAAACACTGGCCAAAGTAAGCATTCATATTTGTTTGTGTGTGAAAAAAGTAAAAAAACTAAATTGAACGCTAATTTTGGCCAGTGTTTGTGACCAAGTGGTTACTAAAAAAGACTGGACATACCCCATTTGCAATACCTTGGGTTGTCTTCTTTTGCAAATGGTATGCCATCATGGGGGTAATTCTCATTCCTGGGCTACCATACGCTCTCAAAGGCAAAGTAACCAACCTGGCCATTTTCAATGTAAAAATATTTGACCCATATATTTGACCTTGTAACTTTCAAAAATGCTATAAAACCTGTACATGGGGGGTACTGTTTTACTCAGGAGACATCGCTGAACACAAATATTAGTGTTTAAAAACTGGAAAAC